CAGGAGTTAAGGACAATAAAAGGTGAGTCTTGTTTCTGTACTTCCAGACCTCCAGGGAATTCAAGGATGTAGATCTTCTCTATAAGTAAGAAGCAAATCACTTTATTTATGAATCTATATTTGGATGGTGGGAAGTTTTTTCCCTCCTTTAGTGGTATTTATCTAACTATCTATCATGCCATTGTAGGAAATGTGCTGGATTTATTACTGATTTCCTAAAGGTAAGGTATGTCTCAGATTAGATTTTCAGAGCTTTGTAAGATCTGGGGTGTGGGAATTGATACTGCATTTTGCAAAAAATACTAAGGAGCCTTTACTGGAAATCTGCTGAAGCAGGGAATAAGGAAGTGAATTGATTTAGAAGTAATTGGATAGATTTCAATTGAAATGAATCCTAATATAAGAAATAAATTAAAACCAGGCAGATGAGAAACTATAAGGACACCCCTGAACAGTACAGATTATGAAGACTAGACCCAAGCAAAGCCTAAGGTGATTTTTCACACCAAGGTTGGCGTTTGGGGTTGGGTTTTCTTGCAGTTTACTCAGTTTGGAGAGCGAAGCTAAGCTGGTCAATGCTGCTTTCTGCTTAAATGTCTTTTCCCTCTCTGGTTTCTAGAGTGTGATTGGGTGTCTGTCCTTGTGGGGACCCATCTTGTGGTCAGCAGCACCTGTTGCATATGTTGTTGAAATACTTCATAGAATTTGTGGGTTTAGATGGAGAGGGCATGGGAGAAAGCACTGTGGACCCCGGTGTGTATTTTTGAGTTCAGTGTGTGGTACCTAACACCATGAACAGTCATCGATCTGCCAAGTGGAACAGAGCGTGTCTTCAGGACAGTGTTGTAGGTCTGAGCAATTGCCTTACAAGGATGAGATAGGAAGACATCCAAAGCACATCTCCCCTCTAGCACATCTTTAAAAAAATCAAGAAGAATTCTCTTTTACTTATCTGGGAGAACCTAGTTTAGTCATCCTCCCTTTGGTTCTCGGGATGATCATAGAGCACATCCTCTTGAAAGCTGTGTCTGGGCACAGAAAGGAGGTGGTGTCTGGTAATGACCAGTGTTTATTTACAAAGAGTAAACCATTTTGACCTACATGAGGGCCTCCAAGGATGGATGGGTAGATCTGTGGATGAGGAGAGGGTAGTGGATGTTGTGTTCTTTGATGACAGTAAGGCTTTTGAGATGATGCCCTGCTACATCTGCGTGTCAAAGGCACAAGAGAAACTGCAGTCTAGATGTGTGGACTGCTAATTGGGTAGGAAATGGGTTGGAACTGTCCTGGGACCTTTCCTTTTAATATTTTTGTCAACAGCCTGGATGAGGAGATGAAATTCACTTCATGAAGTTTGTGATTGATGCCAGACTTGGGGAACAGTCAATACTCTTGAGGGCAGGGCTGCCATACAGGAAGGCCAGAACACGCTCTGGCTAAATTGAACCTCATGGAATTCAAGAGGGACAAATGCAAAGTCCTGCTCTTGAGATGGATTCACCTGGGATGGACTAACCCCTTGAACTGTTGAAGGCTGAGGACTGACAGATAGCAACTACCCCAGTGCCTACAAGAAGGTTATTCAGGAGATGGATCCAGACTTTTCACAGGAGTGCAAAGCATGAGAGTGAGAAAAAGCCAGACATAAATAGGAATGAGTTTCCAACTGGAAATAGGGAAAAACTTCCCATTATAAGCTAATTCGCACTGGGGCAGGTTGACCAGGATGTTTGTATCATCTCCATCCTGGGGTATTTTCAAGACCTTAATGGATAAAGCCCTGAGCATCTTGGTTTGATTTCACTTTTGTGCAGGGGTTGGGCTAGAGACCTCCCAAGGTCCTATCACTCCTAATTCTGTGATTTTGCCTGTGTTGTTCCTGCCAGTCATTCACCAGGGGAGCAGAACAGTTTTGTTATTTCATGGGATTTTTTCTTTTACCCTGCAAACCTTATATTGTGTACTTTATGTTTTATGTAAGTTACATAACAGATGGGAACCTCAATGTAGCTCTTCAGGTTAATAATTAACACTTTGGCCTTCTACTGCATCCTTGTCTGCTCGGTTCTTATTATAAACAGGAATGAGCAGATCCTTCCAGCTCTTCCATGAGTTGTTGATACTGGTGAGGAAGATGCATGCAGAACGGCTGTTTCACTTCAGGAGCACTCATTATAGAAGCCTAATTGTATGAATATTTAGTCTCTTTATTTCAGTATTAGACAGAGGAGAACCACAGGTCAGATCTCCAAGGCAGTATTCAGCTGTACAACAATGAAACTGTCCTGCAGTTCCGTGGATTATTTATGACACACTTCCAGTTTCTACAACAAATGAGACAGTGATCTTACAGACAACACTCTCCTTCACTGCAAACCCTGATTCACTCTCCAGGCAGGTCCTAGGGGAAAAAAACCCCGTTAATATTGGATACTTAAAATATCTCTCTGAAAGCATCTGGAGCCTGTGCTGGGCTTGAATTAGCTATCTTAATTCCTAACCTTTGACACGTGAATGATCTTTTAGCGTAGAATGCTCTTTTAGTGTAGTTTTAAGGCTACAGTATTTATTATTGCATATTACAAAGCAACTTGAATATTGCTTTAATGTAGTTTTAAGATTGCAATAGCATCCTCCATCCTGGCTTTGTCTGGCCCACACCCAGGGAGCAGTTTGGTTTACTCTTGATACACAACAGAAACACAGACTTTTTTTTCCCCCTCTTGCTTGATGACACCAGGGTGTTTAGAGAGGTGCTGGTGGGACTGTATTACCTGAAGCCCAACCTTGTATTGTAAAGCCCTTCATTGGTGACAAGGGCGTGACCTTCACCACAAGGTCAGCTCGTGTGGTTCTCCCTGCATGTCTTCAAGGTCCTAATGTCAATATGAGACATTACGACGTTTCCTGATGAGGAAGATGGTTCTTTGAGACTTGTTTGTCTATTGTAAGGAATTCATTTCAGCCTTGTAGAATTAGCCTTGGGCTCTGTATGGACAAGGTGACCACTAAGCTACAGTGAAGACAAATGCCTTTCCTGATTTCTGGTCTGCCTGCAAGCCTCATCTGTTCTTCAGGTTGACTTTTAGCCTTTTCTGCTACTGTGGTACTTTCTGTTTGAGGTGAAAAGACATTACCTGTCCTCATTTGCTACTGGTTTTGTGCAGGCCGGTCCCTCAGGAGACCTGCTTATATCTTCTATCCTGGGAAAGCAATGCCATGAAAAGCATTAGCTCTCTGTAGCTTCTTGCAGGGAAGGCAGCAGTGGTGCTTGATGGGGAAAAATAAATCCAGCACATGAACAAAGGACTGTATGAGTCAGCAGGCAGGGGACAGAAAGGCCAAGGTGGTTCCTGGAGAGCCGTTGCAATGTAGACTGCTGTCATTGCTGGACTGGGAAGTGGCTATATATGTAAATATGTATCTCAATCGTGGGTTTTTTTCATCCCGTGAGATTGTGGTAGAAGCAATGATGGGAAGAGGTGATGTTTGGTCAAGTGGGAAGGCTTCCCAGCCAAGCATCTGTGAGTCAGATCTTGATGTTTGTGTCTGGCATGGGTTTTACTTTTCCACTCGCAATCAGCTGTCTACCAGGAGAGAAGATACTCCCTGGCTCAGATAGAGGCTTACTCCAGGGATGAGATGGTATATGCTGAGGTCCCTTCTGGATGTCATCTCTGAAGACCATACGTGGGGTACATGTCACCTGTGCATATATTCATCATTAATATAACCCTGCCCACTTGAAATGCTTCAAATGCTTTTCAAATGCTAATGAAAGATCTTTCAACCAACCCCACTAGGAATTGTTGCATGTTGTCCTCATTTTATAGACTAGGAAACTGAGGAGCAGAAAGGTAGTGATTATTATTCTGGTCAGATACAAAAGCGTGGATGGTTTCAGGCTATAGGCAGGAAGGGACCTTCTTGAAATGTGCATTTGTGCAGTGCATCATGCTGTGGGGGAGCCTTTGTAATATAGTCCCTGCAATCCATCTACAAATATCCTGACTGTCTGATTTTTTCAGTCTGTAATGGTTTGATGTTTTTTAGTTGTTTGTTTTGGTTTTGATTGGTTGGTTGTTTTTTTGTTGCTTGGTTTTGGTTGGGGTTTTTGTTGGTTTGGTTTGTTTGTTTGTTTGTTTGTGGTGGTGGTTTTTGTTTTGGGTGTTTTGTTTTTTTTTAATGCAGTAGTGCATTCAGCACTTGGTTACAAATATTATTCTGAGTTTGGGAATTCCTTGGGGTTTTTTTTTAACCGTTCTATCCTCTAATACTTTTTTGCTGGTGAATTCGGGCTGTGACGAATGGGAAACTTTGCCTGACTCTGCAGTTTCTCTCTTCTCTCGCTTTGGTCCTGCATACAAATGCAGCAGGTCCCTGGGGAGCAGCCAAGACTGCACCACTCAGATGGAGTGGCTGGCAGCACGGCATAAATGTCAAACATACACTCCTGCCATTGCACAGAGAGTTAGCAATCACACCTCTGCTTCCCAGGGCTTTTCTTTCCTTCTCTGAGTGTGAAGACAGTCATTGGGAGCATCTTTGGCTCTTGAGGGCACCTGAGCCAGCAGACACCGGTGTAAGACCTTGGCTCCCTTGATTCCTCACTCATCCCCTCTGTGAGTCCGTAGCTGGTTGTTTACAAGGCAAAAATGCTCAAACGTGTGATTAATCTGAAGAAGTTCTGTATTTTTGTGTATTCATTCAGTTTGGGGGCTTTAATCTCAGTCAAACTTCACCAGAATGGAAACTTCTGAATACCATCATGAAAAGGGCACAAGAATTATCATCTTCATAGTGTCTCAGACAGCTCTCAAGCTCTGCTTTTTTGACCTCCCTTGCCAATCTGGACTTGAAAGCTCAGCAGATCCTTCTGGAACTAACCTGCTGCTCTATTCCTCTCTTTTAGGAGCTGGGAGCCAAGATGGATAAGATACTGGAAGCCGTGGTGATGTCCTCATACCCCAACAATGTGAAGCAAGGGCTCGTAAGGCGTGTCATTGAGGCAGCAAAGCAGCCCATGGACAGTGAGCAATGCTGGTCCATGCTGGAGCTATCTACCAAGCTTTATCTCACTGGGGACACCAAGTATAAAAGAGAGATTGGGAAAGAGGTTTTGGAGGTCTATGGCCACTATCACCCAGAGGAATTTGAGGAGTTCTTCAATGTCCGCTTCCTGCTGCGTCTCCTCCAGGAAGGCTATGGACCTCTGGGGAAGAGAAGCCATTATGTACTTGATTATATCCAGTTAGGACTGCAGTTCATCCTGGAAAGCCCATCAGCGAACAGCATCTTCAGCTTATTGAGGATCGAAGTGCTCCGGAAAGTCTGTGAGAGGCCCAGCCCCAAGCAGTGTGCGAAGATCAGCAAACTCTTAACCCAGCATCCTCAGTGCATTCCCACAGGAAAACACCAACTCTTATTCTGTCAGCAGCTGATCCGGTGCATTGGGCAGTTCCAGTGTGTCTCTGAGGGGGAAGAGGATATCATGGAGTTTTTGGAGCAGGTGAATAAAGTGAGTGGTCTGCTGCAGAGGATCTGGAGGACTCAGACCTCAGCCATCCTGCCCTCTTTGAAAGAACTGTTCACTATCATTTCTTCAACAGGTAATTTAAAAAATAATTAAAAAAACCCGGCTGGGAATGTAAATGTTGGCTCTGATGAAGTCAAATTTTATTAGTTTGACATCTTGCAGGGTTTTCATCCACTGCAGAAGTTCAGCCACAGATGAAATATAATAAACAAGCATCTCAAAGCTACCCAGGACTTTGAGCTGGGAAAACAATATCCCCTGAAACCAGACAGAGTCTGCACACAGGAGCTGTTAACTAGATTGAAAAGATTTGCAGCACAAATTTATGTGTTCGGCACTTTTCAGCACCAGCTGGGCTCAATGGAAAACACCTTATCTGCAGCTGCTTAGAGTGGGACACGAAAGCTTTTAGAAATGTCACTCTTTTATGGCTGACTTGGTGGTACCCCATGGCCTGCTCCCTGCTAGAGACTAGGGATAAAGCTAAGGAGTTATTTCTCACTGATCTAGAGGTATAAAGCCCTAGTGTCTGTCAGGAGGGTGTTTGTGTCTTAAGGAGAGAGAGACAGAAGATACTTATCCAGTTTCTGGGGCCTTTAGGTTTTTGCAGAAGGGTTCAGAAGATTTTTGGAGGTACCAGTGCCATGAAAGGCTGGTGAGCTCCTACTCTAGCTATTCCTAAGCTTACAGGAGATGTTTTTTTCAGTGCCCTCTGTATGAATGCCTCGTCCTTTGGAAGGTGCTTCAAGCAGGCAAAGCTGCAGTTGTATCCCCTTGCAATTATCTGCAATACTTAGTACAAAGGGAGCACACAGGGGAAATTTTGGACCTAGGGTTGGCCCAAGAATGTTCTTGTGCCTTGATTTCTTCCTCTCCTTTGGGCTGTGTATGGCTTCAGGCAACAGCTTATCTGCTAAGACCCAATTTCATTATGTGCTGCACTGGGATTTGGGGAATTGTCCTCCTAGCACAGCTAACTGCAGACTCTACGCTGCACCAGCTGTCTATCCACTGCATAACGTGTAGATGTGGCACTTGGGGACATGGTTTAGTGGTGGACTTGGCAGTGATGGGTTAATGGTGGGACTTGATGATCTTCGAGGGCTTTTCCAGCCTGAACTGTTCTATAATTCTATTAATGTGGGCAGAAATGATTTGGTTTTTAGAGATTAGGAATGATCTCATGTGCCTGGTTTTCCTGGTGACTAACATCTTGTTTGTTGGCACTCATCCATGTCTTGCAGAGGAGCAGGAAGCACCATCCAATGCCTTGGCCAGCGTGGTTCAGTTTGTCCCTCTGGAGCTCATGGATGGCGTCATTAGAAACCTAACCAATGATGACAGCATCACTGATGTGCAAATGATGATGGCCATTGGCAGGTAGGAGAGGCTGCATTAGTGAATGTTATTCTCAGTTTGGAGAAAAACCCGCCCCAAAGCTGCACTCAGGTTTTTTGCATGGTTTTATCCCAAGCTGTTTGATTGGTGCTGTCTGGTGAGGAGTGTGTGAGAAAAAAGCAAACTTCTGTATCATTCCTTCCAGCCCTGAGGTCCTAGAGAACTAGAATAAAGACTGGTTGTTATTATGATCATGATTGACTATGGTTATTATTATATTTATTTGGCTTAATTTAGTTTCTTTTCTTAGAAATAAATAGTGTTATGGGATGCCAAACATAAACTATCTTGAAGTTATCTTTTGGCTTTCTTTTCCAGAATCTGTTGAGGGCTTTTTCTTCCCAAAAATCTCCTTTACAGAATTTCGTGTTGATCTCTGTCTCCCTCCATAAGGACATCATTCTAAACCACCAATCACAGCTAAAAAGCTTGGGGAGGGAGGTATGCCCAACTGTTTCAATGGTCCCACCTTGACCTTTGTCAGACGAATGTGGTGCTGCTGGACAGACAGAGTCAACAGCAACCTTGTCAAGGCATGAGGAAGAGTAGTGGGTGAAACACTGACATAGTAGACCTGATTTTGCAGCACCTGTGCCCTCTTTGCATCACCAGATCTTCCTTACACACTTATGTCCAAGTCCTATAGCTCTTCTGTGCTCCAATGCCTTGCTCCACACTTGCTTAGGGGCATCTTCAATGATCTTAAGGGTCTTTTCCAACCTAAGTGATTCTGTGATTGTATGTTCAACTCATGTTTTTCTTTAGAGGTTTCCATTTAAATAGATGACATTCACATGCAGTAGTGCATGCACTTAACACAAGGGAGTTGCTGTGACTTGTTCTCACTGGAAACATCTTTTTTTCCTCTTATTACAGATTTATGTGGCACTTCCACATGACAGAAGCTCATTATTCCTGATGGGAACTTTTTGTACGCAGAAAGGGGTTACTTCTTTTTGGCTTGCGGGGGAAAGCCATGGTTTTCCCAGAGTCCACAGAAACCCAAGACGAATGACTGTTACCAGTTCAGTTCCTAATCCTCTTCTCTGTCTTTTTCTCCTTCTGGCCACCTGCATCTGTGAGCTTCAGGTGCTGAATCCTCTAAGGGTGCCAGTGTCTAAATATAGGGGTTGCCAAATCAATTGCGTAATTCCTTAAAACATTCTTTGTCACGCAGAAGGACAAGTAAATGTTTACTCAGAGTTAACCAAACATTAAGCAGAGACTGCAAAGTGTAATTAAGGTCACTTAAGAGAAATGTGGAAGCTTTGGCAGCAGGTTTGTGGCAGATGGGTGCCCCAAAAACCAGCATGACCTGATGTTGGCCTTTTAATGAGTGTGTGCTCCACGTCTAGAAAATCAAAGAAAAATGTTCAAGTTGAAAGGATCTTTCAGCTTAGTATCCCTGACAAACTGGTCGCATACAGAAGTCTCTTATTACAAAGTTTGAGTTTCCGAGTCAGTAGCAGGGAAATAAACTGGACATAGGGTGGAGCTTCTGGTCAAGCATGGGGAGAACAAATAGTGGTAGAAAAAAGCAAGGCTGGCACCTGCTGGTGTAAGTGTACACCACAATCTCTTATAGAGAGTTTCTCAGAGAGTTTGTCTCTTTTTAGATAAGCTCTAATACTGTGCATCCATGACATCAGAAGTACTTGCTGATTTGGGTTTTATTGAACTTTTTCTCCTGGGAGTGTATCTGTTTCAAAGAGCCCAGGTCCATCCAGGTGCAGAAGGCATCTGATGTCACATGGGGATGCAGGCATTTGCTACCTCTGGAAATCATTGTCTGAGTTTTTAAAAGTTTAGCATGAAAAATTAATGGCTTCTTTGGAAAATTAGGGTTCTGGCTGCTAAAATATTTGTGGATCTTGCAATGTGGAAAGTGCAGTGTGAATTTAAAATGTACTTTCTTCCTGCTGTAGCAGCATGGGCAGCACTGTAAGTTAGCCACCAGTGCTGGCAAAAAAACAGCTTGAAGTGGGCAAAGTCATTTTATGCATGTTTAAAAAAAGATAGGGTGAAAAAGGATCTTTGGATCTCTGGATCCATCTCTCTGCTTTGTAGGTATTGACATTACAGACCCTGTTCATGAATGTTCAATTATGCTCCTCAAACCAGGCTGGGCTTTTGCCTCCCACTGCCTTTCTTTCATAGCTGGTCCACCATTGGGTTGCTTTAATGGTTTGAATCTTTCTTCTGACAGCCAGCCTGTATGTATTTCTGGCCATCTTATAGTTCATTTGATCTTATGCCAGCAGAAATAACTGAAATATCTTTTGCCTCCCCGGTGTTTATTTATGTGCAGGTAGAGCAGTCCCTTCCCATCTCTACTTTCCTGTGGATGTGCTAAACAAGCCAGGTTGTTTTAAGCTTTTCTTGCAGGAAATGGTCTTCATTTCCTTGACCGCCTTAACAAGTTTCATCGACACAGCTCATTGGGCTTGAACACAGATTGTGACATTTGTGCACCATGTTCCAGGTGCAGTTTACTATGGCAGCTTGACAACAGCCTGAAGTGTCATTGTTTTGCTATAGAAAACACCTTTTCCTCTGTACCACAGCATGGTGCTGGTCTTTACCATGGCTGATGTTACACTGGGAACTTGTATTCACCTAGCCTGGTTATCTTCAAGCAGATGAGTTACCATCATGTAGCATCCATTTCTTGTGCCTTGCATGCATTTTGAATCAATATATTTCCTTCCAGTTCTACATTTCTAATCCTCAGGGTCTTCCTCATAATACTTTGATTCTCCTCTTGTGTTGATGATGCCTGTCAGCTGTACATCATCACAAACTTCCTAGCCATGTTCAGAATATTTGTGCTAATGTTCTTCAGGATTGTTAGATCCTGAAGAACACTGCTTGTAACCTACTCTCAGATAGCCAGTCAGATACCATCTTCTGTCCTTTTGCTAGAAATTCCTACGTCCTGACAAACCTGGCTTTGGCACCTATGGCAACCCCCGGGGCACTCTGTCCCTTCTTCCCACTCATTCCCTCATTGCCTGTTTACATTATAGGAACCACCTCCCTACTCATCTCACATAAAGCACCATGGAAAAGTTGATAGAGTCATTAAAACTCACCAGAGCTGAATTTTACGTGATGGAGATCACCAATTCCTCATGTTTGGAGTTCATGATCTCTTCATGTTTTGCTTTTGTATCTGCTGTCATTGCTTTTGTTTCTGTCTCAGTTCTTTTACCTACCTCCTCTTTGTCACCCCGACAAATTCCTTCCTCTTGTTGAAATGGAGGCAGCGGATGTGTTTAATTTGGAAGTCACATCTAGAGGCCATATCATATCTTTAATCTCCATTACATTCACTGTATGCAGGGATTGCATGACTTTCCGTCTTCTCCTCTGATGCAAATGTCTGTGGAATCTTCTCTGGCATTTGCTTAATTATCCAACTTGGCTTGGCTTTTGCTGTTTCTCGCATCCCAACATATTCTGCTTTTCAAGGTTTCTTTACTAAGTAGACTTTAATTTTTCCAGTTCCTTGTAGACTTCGCTTATTCCTGCTTTTTGCCTTGTGGTGGTTAGTTATCTGTTTTCCCTTTATATATTTCACCTGAGATACAGATTGCTAAGCAAAAGGAACTGACTTGGTAAGATAGCTGGACTGAGGTAGAGCCTGAAGATCTGGGATATCTTCAAAGCAGAAGTACTGAAATGGTCAGGAGAGTTTGACACTTGGAGATCCCAAGTCTTAACTGCTTCCCAGTTGTTTCACATTACATTTAAACAGAAACAGTGTGCCAGCACTTAATCTGAGATTGTTTTATGAGAGACTTCTGTGAAGAACTTATTTCTTGCAGAAACATTACAACACAATGGTTGAGTGGCTATAGATGAAAATTGTTAGCTGTGACATTCAGGAATAACTGGCTTCTATCAGGGTTACCAGGTTGCGTTTTTTTAATGTGTTTTTGGGAATCAATGTTTCCAACACAGAGAATTAAAAGATCTGAATCTGAGTGGTTTTTCCTTACCAGTAACAATGCAGAGGTAATACCAGCATCACTTGTTATCTAATAGTGACAATGCAGAGACCTTGATCAAACCCTCACATGGGTGGCATGTAGAGCACTGTACCAGTGTTAAAAACTTGAACTCAAGTTGACTGAAGTTAGTGGGAAAAATCTCCACTTTATTCTTTGGATTTGACTCTGGTGTTCTGATGAACCATGGCATGGTGATGACATAGGGGTGATTTCACTTCAGGCTCTGTTATGCTTTGAATAACATGTGAAATGCCTTATGAAGAGCCCATCTCTTACTTGGTCATCCCACCAAGACATCAGTTTGGAGGAGGTTTGACCTAGAGCGGAGCTTGGCTTTCACAGTCTGTGCATTAAATTTATTTAAGAGTTTGTATCTCATTTCAGGATGATTGACTGGGTGTCCTGGCCCCTGGGGAAGAACATAGACAAGTGGATCATTGCTCTGCTGAAGGGTTTGGCTGCAGTGAAAAAGTTCAGCATCTTGATTGAAGTCACTCTTTCAAAAATTGAAAAGGTCAGTTGGCTCTTTTAAATGTGAATGTGAACAGCAGACTTCTTCTTGCACCTGAAATAGCATCTTGCCTTTCAACTGAATGAGGACGAGATGTGACTTGAAATGTACAGAAAAGAGTTTGCTGTCCCAAGGGACTGTTGTGTCCCCTGCACCCCCTGTGAATGCTGCATTGCTATGGATGGGGTGATGGGCTGATACTGTTTTTTGCAGGAATGATGTTCTCTGGAACAACCTTCAGGTCTCAGTATGCAGAGGTACTGATATCTAAAAGAAAGGTATCTTAAAGAAATAAAGAAGCCAAGGATTTTCAAGCCAACCAAACACTTTTGTTCCAGAACTGTAGAGCTCTTGTAAAACTTGCCTTTGGGAATGTGACATGATCTCTTTGACTGTGCCTGGGTCAGTGCTGGCTGGCACTGGCAAAATACATACCAGTGAGCATATTAGCACTTCATGCAGTCACAGGTCAGTTTTAAAACCTGTGCCCTGGCTTAGTTTATTTATTAGTGGAGATAAAACTCCCACCGACACTGCCATCACCTGTTTTGGCAGTGAGCACTTGCAGTGTCTGAAAACTTTTTGATCAAGTGCTGAAATTGGTTGCTACTTCAAAAACATTTTCTATGTTGTGGTCCTGCTGTTCCTTCCTTCGAATAATGGGAACACCACCTGGATGAGCTGCCAGTGGAAATCACCATAGAAGTTACCAAGACTAGGTTAACCATGCTGGGTTAACAGTTGGATTTGATGATCTTACAGGCCTTTTCCAACCTAAATGGTTCTGTGATTCTCTATCAGTATTGAAACATTATCAATAACTGCATTTGTCCTTGTGATTATCCATGTGCATTGAGCAGTGGGAGAGTAGCCAAGCATTTCTGGCTTTTTTTATGTTTTCTTTCATTGTTAATGCATAGGAAAGGGACACAGCCCTTAAAATAGCATGTGATTCTTAGAAACCCTCAGAAGTCTGATCTGAGTGGGGCAGAGGTTGTTATCAACTTACGCCATTTTTTGTAAAGTAGGATAAATATCAGTACTTAGCCTTTGAAAAAGGTATTTGTTTTTTATCTCTTTGCCTGAAAGGTTAGCGATGAAGTTCCACATATCTTAATAAAATGGAAGAGGCACATTTCAGAAAATCCAGCAGCTCATTGTGCTTGCATGGTCTTGTTCATGAGGAGGTACAGAGGTGCAGCGCTGTTATGGAGGCCTGCACCTTGCTGTGTCAGACATTGCACAAGCCTGAAAGAGTAAGTATAACCCACACAATATTTTTAGGATGCCCTGAGACAACATTCTGGAGAGGAGATTACTTGTAGGAGATGAGTTGTAGGCTGCTTGCTTCAACATCCAGCATGGAGTAGGAAGAGACCAGCACCTGTGGTAGATGCCCAGTGCCTCTCTTTCCTGCTGTTCCCTTCTCCTGTGTGTTGCAGTGCCATTCTGCCTTCTCATTTGCTTTTCTTCTTCCCCACTAGGTCTTCTCCAAGTTGCTGTACCCCATTGTGAGAGAGGGGGCTTTGTCTGTCTTGCAGTACATGCTGCTGAGCTTCCAGCACTCCCATGAGGCGTTTCACTTGGTAAGGCTGTACCTGGCACTTGGATGAGGACATTGACCTGAGTGTAACCATGCCATGGGCAGCATGAGTAGGAGGGGACCTAAGGTGCTGAGATATTGGGGAATATTTCCTTCATCTGCATGATTTTACTGAGTAATGTAAACCCAACCCTGTCCATTCACTTGGAGCCTGTCCTGGCAGCCACAGGTAGCCTCTCATAGCCTCTCCTGCAGCCTAAACAGTGTTTTTGGGTACCATGGAGGCAGTGCTGAGATGTGAAGGCAAATCCTGAGCCTAAAACAGGTTGGTTCCCACAAACGGAGCAGCCACCCTATGTCAGAATGTGAGGTGCAGAGGAAAAGTGAGACGTTGCTTTCTCCTCTCATGGTTCCTCCCATTTCTCTTGAGGCTTACCCACTGGATGGCTCATCTTCAGGGATAAATCAGTATAAAGCTGGTTGGGGCTGACCCAGACTGGCCTAGCATGTGGTTTCATGGGCAGATTTAGAAGATACCTTCATATTTGCCCCATATTTGCTCCCACCCTTTTGGCTGAGGTGTGGTAGATGTTGCCACTCTGGCTTCGGAGTGTGTTAGGTGAAGCCTTTGCATTGAGAACATCTCAGAGGGCTCTTACTGTTGAGGGCAAGGAATATATTCTTAAACATGCTCTGATGCTTCCCAAGCAGGTGCCTGACTGTCCATTGGACTCAGTGGATCTCATCCATGTGTCTTTAAATTGCCACCAACACGTGACACTCATTGCCATTTCTTGAAGTGATGGGCCATCTAGAAGACTGGATCAGTCTTCACTTCCACTACATGCATTCTCTGCTGTTAAAAGCAAAACCAACTTTTGGCAGCATTTGAATCTCCACTTTTAATTTCCACAGTGACATTTTATATTTTGTTTTGCTGTTGTCACTAAGGCACAGCTCTGCTTCCCACTGGTGTTGCCCATGGAATGCTGGATTTAAAAAACAAGGCTGAAGGCATAGGCATGCTTGCCGTGATTGAGCTGATAAAAGCACTGATGGAAAATTACTCCTATTAATGCTTGATTTTATACTTTTTTGTTAAAGCCCTTACATTTGGCTTTTCACGTAAAGTTCACACAATAAACAGATAAGGCTGGAAAAAAGCAAAGTTGCCAACATTTTCAATTGCTGCGTTTTCATTCCTCAGCTGGAGACACTTTAAATGAGCCTGAATTTCTTGAGAAACTCTTTGGTTTCTAAAAATAGCATCCTTCCAACAGATTGTCTTCAGTTGAGCGTCCAAATTTTGGAACACTCCAAAAGCTGTCGGTTCCTCTTGGCTTGAAGTTTCCATGTGCATCCCAGAGAGCATAGATTTTCTTCTTCATTTAAAAACAACAGGGCGAAACCCTGTCTTGCTTCTTATCTTTTTGTGTTTGCCCTGGCACTCTGGAAGGGTTTTGAGAATTGTTGCCATCACAGCTTGGCAAAATTTTGATGTATGAAATGTTGCGGGGATTGATTTTCTTCCCAACAAACCTTTCATGTTGGAAAGGAAATAGTTAAAATCTCCAACATTTTGAAGAGAAAGAAAGAAAGAGAGAGATGCGACCAAGGGAGGAAGAGAGGACCAGGAAATGGCTGGACTGGGATTCCGAGACTTTATTCCGGGATTATTCTGGGCTAAAAATAACATAAAATATAAATATGAAAAAGGTTGTGTAAGTGCCTGGGGTCACTCTAGCACATCTGCAGGGTTGGAAATATGTTGTTAATTCTCTGTGCAGCTGCAGGGTCAGCAGAGGGTGCCTGTGAGCAATGGATCGTTTGGATTTGCATCTGCTTGTGCACTTTTACATCTTTTAGATGAGAACAAAATAACAACCGTGCTGTTTATGTGCCTGTTGCCATGCATCCACCCGTACCAATTCCAGTTCAGTTTATCCAGTAAGTAATAGAGCACAGCAGAAAACACTTCTTCTAGGCTAATTCCATCTGTCTTGCAGGTTTGCATCCCTATACTTGGCAGTCAGCACATAACGCTCCTTTCCACTATGGAGCAGCACAAACCTGCAGGTGTCATGCAACATGAAACCCTCTAAGACTGACTCAAGTCAACAGAAGAGTTGATGTTGAGTTCATAGGGTGAATGATGAAGTCCAGAATGGAACTGAAGTCAACTCCTGTTCACTGTCTTTTCTGCCTGCGGGTGAATTTGATGCCCCCAAATGTGTGTTAAAGCTCTGTGAGTAATTTAGAGTGATTTTTGTTGTGAATTTTCTTTTCCCAGATACTCCCTCACATCCCCAGGCTAGTGGCCTCTCTGAAGAAGGAGGACTCAAATTCTGCAACGAGCTCTCTGGAGCAGCTGGCTGAGCTCATCCACTGCATGTTCTTCCGCTTCTCAGGATTTCCAGACCTCTATGAACCAGTCCTAGAAGCAGTTAAAGTAAGACATGTACTCCTCAGTCTTTTTTCTGCTTTCCATATGAAAAGGGCATCGTAGTTGGTAGCCTAGTACAGAGGGACTGCCATACTGGTAGGGATGTCCTAACCTCAACACCTGAAATTATAGTAGAAGAAAGAGTTTAAAATTCTGAGTTTGGGCCCTGCGTAGGCAGGTTGAGGGAAGATACTTCCCTAAGGGTGGGCCTGCAGAAGTCCTGGTGATGCCTGTAGGTCTTAGCTATAACTTTAATGCCTCTAAAGGACTAATACAAACAGGTAAACACTTCCTTGCATGGAGGCATGTTCATGTGAAAATAAGTTGTGTGAATGCCTCTAGCAGAAGAGTTTTGCAGTTGCCCATTACTAATTCTTCACAGGGAAAGCTCAGTTGTAGTCAATAGGATAATTGAATACCCTGAGTTGGAAGGGGCCCACAAGGATCATCCAGCTCCTGACCCTGCAAAGGACAACCCCAAGAATCACACCAGTATGCCTGAGAGTGTTGTCCAAATGCTTCTTGGCTTGGTGCCATGACCACTGGAAGCCTGTTCCAGTGTCCAGCCATTGACCACCACTTTTCCTAATATCCAAACTAAACCTCCTCTGACAGAACTTCATGCTATTTCCTCATGTCCTATCACTGGTCACCAGAGAGAATAGATCAGTGCCTGCCTCTCCACTTCCCCTTGTGAAGACAGATAATGATTTGTAACATAGATGTCTCTTTCCAAGGCTCTTCCTATTCCCAATGAAGACCGGATTAAACACCTCTTGGGTCAAAATGCTTGGACGTCCCAGAAGAATGAGCTGGCCAGCTTCTACCCACGTCTGGCATCCAAATCAGAAACGGGAAAGATCGGGTTAATTAATTTGGGAAACACCTGCTACATGAACAGCATCATACAGTCTCTTTTCATGGCTTCAGAGTGAGTTTTTCCTCTCTTGTTTTCCTCAAGACTGCTCCAGAGGTTGCTAGTCACACCAGACTTATGTGTCCCACACTGATTTTCCATCTTACAGATTGCATCTCTGCTTTTCTTTTGTAGCTTTCGGCATTCAGTGCTGAATTTAACTGAGGGCAACTCCCAGCCCCTGATGACAAAGCTCCAGTGGCTCTTTGCATTTTTGGAGCACAGTCAGGTAATTATTTCATGTTCTAGTTATTTGTTTGGACTGTCGGCTGCGGAAAGCCTCGTCTCCAAGTTGCTTCCTGCTGGCTCCAGTGTGCTGATAAGGAGCTGTGGATCTTGGTGGGTTTTTATAACTGGATGAATTTTGTTTATATGAAGGAGGCTAATTTTGGGGGTGGAGGAGGAAAGCTTCTATCACCCATGGAAGCAGGCTATGTTCACACCAGGCTGCCAGTCTTCAACCTGTTGTCTTCCTGGGTTGGGCTGATGTAATAACTAATAGTTTTGACAATGAAGTACATTCAGTAATTGTTTACATCTGTGGCCAGCTGAAAAGCCTGTTGGTATAAAGCAGAGGTTTTGTTTCTTGCTGTGCAGCGAGGAAGAAGACTGGGGGAGCTTGCTTGTTCTATTGATTCACAGTAGAGCACAAGCAATTGTGGAAAATTGCCTTAAAAGTGGTTTTGTTAAAAGAATAATAATTAAAAAATCCTTAGAATCCACATGCTTTGAATCCTTTCTGTATGAGGGAAAGTAAAATAAAAACAACACCCTTTAACTAATTATGAGTATTTCCATGACAAACATTCAGTAGGAGTGACTCCTGGAGATACAGCTAGGTCATATCTAACTCCTCCCTTGAAAACATATATTTCTGTCCCTAGAAAGACAAGATTTTGAAAATCTGGTGAATTTTCCCTTGCTGGGTAACAAGTCATCTGGACTTCTACATTTTCCAAGCCTTGACTCACAGAGCTGGCTTATAGCATTGTGGTATTATGTCATCACAGATAACATTTTAGGGGAAAATAGAGACAGCCTGTTAAATTTAATATTTGGTCATAGAAGGGTCTAGTTTTTGATGGCAGGTTAAGGTGTCTATATTCTGTGATGAGCAAGTACAGGAGCATATTTGCTTGTTGTGTGGTTTGTGGTTAATAGTTTTCTGCTAATTTCCTTCTAGTTATTTTTCTTGTTTGGGATATTTTTAAAGTCGCTTTTTTTGCCAAAGATGGGTCTTTTTTCCATGTTAATTAGACAGCTGCTTCCCCCATGGCAGCAATTATATTATCTGGTAACACAGATACCAGATTACCTGCCTGCAGTGGTCAGAATGTTGGGTGGAAGTTTAGTGGATTTTTTGCTTTGTTTATTCTTAATTTTATTAAAGGATTTAATGAGACAGATCCTGATCAAATTAAATTCAGGCTGAATTAAGTACAATTATCTGGATCAGGCCAACAAACCATTTTAAAATTAAAGGATAAACACATGGATATTTTATGCAAGTATATGTAAAATCATGGCTGAAATTCATCCTTACCGTCTTGGCTTGCAGCAAACCAAGAAGGTCTTCCTGTGCACTGGGATTAGGCATTGTAGAGGGGAAACAGGGACCTTATCAGGCACAGAACACTGTGCTCCCAGCGAAGCAGCCAGAAAGACACTCCTCTCCCCTCTCCATCCTGTGTGAATTTAGAACAAAATCCCTGGGATTAAACACACTTCTTCTCTGTTGCTGCCAGCGACCTGTCATCTCACCCGAGAGCTTCCTCTCTGCCTCCTGGCCACCCTGGTTCACTCCTGGAGCTCAGCAGGACTGCTCAGAGTATCTCAAGTACTTGCTGGACCGGTATGTGAAAAGTGCTGTGATTTCAGAGTCTGGTGACAATGGCATCCCAAGACCAAATGTAATGTTTAATGCTGATCCACATGCAAGTGGGGTAAGGAGCTGAGACCCAGAGGAATTGGGAGGGTGGAGGCTTGGAGTGAAAGATGGTGAGACTTGTCTGAGGCTCCTTGATAAAATCCTGTTTTGCAGCCTTAGGGTTAAGGTCAGGATTTAGTTCAGCTTGAAAATTTCTGCCTTTGCTCTGAAGGCAAAGGGAATTCATAGAATCATAGAATCTTTAAGGTTGGAAAAGACCTCTATGATCATTGAGTCCAACCACTGACTGTACACTGCCAAGCCCACCACTAAACCATGTCCCTGAATGCCACACCTACACATTTTTTGAACACTTCCAGGAATGGTGATTTCACTCACTCACTTACTTGGGCAGTCTGTTCCCAATGCTTGACCACCCTTTCAGTGAAGAAATTTTTCCTGATATCCCATCTAAATTTGTACCACATTTAGAGACTTGCCTGACAACCCACTCAGCCTTCTCTGTAAAATGTTAATTTTTGCCTTTCTTTTAGTTAGAAATACCAAATCTCTGGTGTCCCAGTGATCCTTCTAGTGGGGGAGCAATGGCACGTGGAGACTTCAGGTTCCCAAATCCTGCTGGACTCCTTCCCATCTTCCTCATGCAGCATCAGACCCCTGGGTACAGGCAGGTGAACTGGGATTAACCCCTTGGAGTGAAGAACAGGAACCCTACTTTAGAAACTAACTCTTGGTGTTCTATTGATGCATAACTCAGCCTTTTTCTCCCCTGCCAAAGATTGCATGAAGAAGAAAAGACTGGAAAAAGGATCTACCAGAAACTCAAGGAATCCAGCTTGATGTCTCAGGCGGTGGAGCATCATTGTTTAAACAAGACATTGATTGAGAAGATGTTTGGAGGTAAAATGATGACAAAGATCCGCTGCTTGAAGTGCCTGAATGTTTCTTCCCGAGAAGAAGCCTTTACAGATCTGTCCCTGGCTTTTCCTCCATCAGACAGGAACATGCATGGGAGCACATCTATTCTACCAGTGGAAGAAATCGGCCCACAGTTCATTGAGCCTCCTGAAAATGCAGGCCAGCCTACAGGGTCTCCCTGGATCCAGAGGAAGGCCCCCATGACTGGGGACCCTGCAGCCCCACAGATGCTGGTGGAAACATTGGGTTTCCAGGAGCCAGGAGAAGCAGCAAATCCATTAAATGGCAGTAATGTTGGCTTGGATGCAGCTAAAGACCCTCTCTCAGCTTTTGGGGAGCAGGCATGCGCTCCCAAGGACTCCAGATCTGTCCCAGATTTAATCAACTATTTTCTGTCCCCGGAGAGACTGACAGCAGAGAATAAATACCACTGTGAGAAATGTGCATCCTTGCAGGATGCTGAGAAGGTGGCAGAGCTGACAGAGGGTCCACACTACCTCATCCTCACGCTGCTGCGATTCTCCTTTGACCCACGGACCATGAAGAGGAAGAAGATCTTGGACAATGTCTCTATCCCTGTGGTGCTTAAGCTACCAATCCTTGTGGCTCCAGAGGAAACTGAGGAGGTCTGCCGGCGTGGGAAGGACAGTGCTGCCCCAGGAAGTGGCTTCATGTCTGTTGTCTATGACCTCTGCAGTGTGGTGGTGCATTCAGGCATCTCCTCAGAGAGTGGCCACTACTACTGCTACTCCAGGGAGTGCACTGACACTGTTGCCCATGGGCAGCCCCAGGATGGGGTGCCAAAAGCTGCCTCTGACAAGCAGTTGGACTTTGAAATCCAGTGGTACCTCTTCAATGACACTAGAGTTTCCTTCTCATCCTTTGAATCGGTCAGCAATGTCACTTCTTTCTTCCCCAAAGACACTGCCTATGTCCTCTTCTACAGGCAGCGGCCGGGCAGGCAGAGCTGCCAGCTGCACGAGGCTCTGGCTGAGGCTGGCTGTCTGCACGGAGAACACTCCCTCCACAAGGACTTAATGGAAGCCATTTCCAAAGATAACATCCTCTACTTGCAGGTAACTCCGGCTGCTGTGCACAGCAGGGTGCGATCCTGTGGTCGTCTGTCTCATGGACCACATTCCCACCCATCCGGGCAGCAGCGGGGTCGTGTCCTCTGGATAAAATCTGTGCGTGCAGACACCCACCCACTCTCTGAAGCCAAATCCCTTTTCCTTTTCAACACCCAGATATAAACAGGTTATAGTTTCATGATGAAACTGGGCACTGAGATTGGTACAAGACACCTTGTGGCTATGCTTGGGGTTGACTTACTGTTGTCTGTCCTGGCAGTTCTGCCTGAAATTTTCTTTAAGTGCCTGGGAAAGACAGAATGATAGCATAGCTTGGGTTGGCAGGGACCTTTAAAGGCTTGTAGCCCAAGCCCCCAGCACGATAAGCAGGGACATCCTCAACTAGATCAGATTGCTCAGAGCCTTATCCACCCTGACTTGAATGTTTCCAGGGGTGGAGCTCCTGCTATGTCTGGGAAACCTGTCCCAGTGCCTCACCACCCTCATTGCAAAAAACTTGTTCCTTATATCCTACCTTTTCCTCTCCTTCCCACCTTTGCTGACTGGTAACCAGCTGCTCCTTCCTACCACCCCTGATGCTCACCTGAGCCATTGCAAGGCAGGTTGGGGTTTTTTCCCTTCTTCCATTCTTATCATATAATAATAGAATGGTTTATGTTGGAAGGAACTTAATTACCATCTAGTTCCAACCCTCCTGCCACGGGCAGGGACACCTTCCATTACACTAGGTTGCTGAGAGCCCCATCCAGCCTAGCGTTGAACACTTCCAGGGATGGGGCATCCACAGCTTCCATGGGCATCTGGGTGAGCTGGGAATACAAACTAGAAGAGATTTCCTTCAAGTGGTGGAAATCAACACTTTCCAAACAGCAGTGTCCCATAGGACATGAGCAGTATGTGAGGGAATTTGAGAGGTCCCTACTCTGCCAGAGGTGATGTTGAAGGGCTGGGTTTTGATCACTGGAGAGATGCAATGCTTTGCTGCATCCCTCCTGCTGAGTTCTAGAGATGAGCACATGGCTCTCATACCCCAGAAGGTGGGAGCATTCCCCTGCCTGGAGTCTTTAGCTGCTGATATACTTGTGCTGATATACTTACTTCCCCCTTTCTTCTCCCAGGAACAGGAAAAAGAAGCGAGGAACAGAGCTGCCTACATTTCTGCCTTGCCAAAATCCCCGCTGTGGTGGAGAGACTTGGACAGGGACAAGGATGATGACAGCTCGTCGGGGGGCTGCAGCCCTGCGGCAGGCGGGGGTGGATCTGGCTCCTTTCATGGACTTGTCTTCTAGCCAATGGGTTAAACCAGACAGGCAATGTCCATGGGGCCAGCCTGTAGCCAGAAGCTCCTCTTTCTCACCCTGATGACAGAGAGCATCTCAGAGGAGAATTTGGAGAATATTTCAATGGAAAAGGACCCAGGGGCTGATTTGGAGGTGCCTGGAGGGTCTTGCTGCTTCCTATGCACTTGGTCTTCATGCCTTAATGTACCTAAGCTAATGCGGAGATGAGCAGCTGCAGACAGCTCAGAGAAGTGCCCTTTGCTTCAGCATAGCCATGTCTTGCAATGCAGTGAGCCAAGCACCAGCCTGGGGAGGGCATGGAGACAGGGATGAGGAGGAGGATGGGCCCAGCAGGGTCCCATGCACATCCTGTCTGCAGCTCTTCCCATAGCACTAAGTTGATTTTGTGGGGGACCTCTGCTTGGTTGTTGTATTTCTTTTTAGTGTGGTTTTGAGAACCCACCTTGACATACCTCTAAAGGTAGAAAAAGGCTGAAAAGTCTGAAAAAATGCTGAGTATCCAATGTAGCAATGCTAATCTGTGAGGCTTGCAAGCTTGCTTGGTCACAGCGAGCAGTGGCAGTCGACCAGAGGAATTTTATGTTGACCAGAGGAGTTTTATGCAGCATTGCAAAGCAACCAAAAGAGACTGAGGGGCACAAACCCCTCCAGCCAGGAGAGACTGACCTGATCCATTTGGGATTTCTGGGCTCCAGTGAAGCCCCATTGTGTTAGTGGTGACCTCTGGATGCTGTTAGTGTGCATGGCAGGCCCAGACACACAGCTGTTTTTCCAGATGTGTCTTTAGCACTTGATTAGCCCCTTTCTGCTGCTGTTGTCTGATGGCTTTCTGGGCTGGCTCTGCCCTTTAAAATTTGGGCTTTCCTTTGGGATACCCTGAACTGAGCAGCAAATGACAGCCCCTAAACCCACTAGCTTTTTTTTTTTTTAAACACTGATTTGCCAGGAGAGAGGCCCAAACAAATATATCATCCCAGTATTAATACGTACTATGTAAACCAATGTATTATATAAATCAGTAATGGGACAGGGGCCTGGGCAGTAGATCTACAGGACTACAGCTCCCTCCCATCTCCCTCCCCAGCTGTTGTCCCCAGCCTGCTCCTCTCTCAAGCCTGTAGTAGAGATTTCTCTAGCTCAAGTGGCAGAGACTTGTGCCTTAGGTCCTAGGTGCAGGGCCTAATCCTGACCATGGGGTATTGGTGTGGGAATATTGTGTTGCTGTGGAGGAAAAGGCAAAGCACAGATTGCTACAGATAATATGAGCAGAAATTCTGCTAGAGAGGATGCTTGGGAACAAATCTCTGGTGTGTACTATGGTATTCTTTTATTGCCTTTCCTATATATAAACAGAGGAAATGAATTAATTCAACATAGAGTCTTAGTGTCTTATTGCAGTACTCTTAGCTATTGGGCTGATGGGTCAAAAAAGAGATGGAGAAGCTGATGACAGATGAGCATACAAACTCACAGATGTGGGACAATCCTGCAAGCAGTGTGTTGGAAGAGGGGAGCAGGCAGAAGTGGAATGGGGACCCCAGCCTGGAGCTGGATGCCTTCTGAATCAAGGTCACAGTCCTAATAGTGGGGCCTTGTAGATGAGAAGTGGAGTACGTTTGTTGTCCTTAAGTCAGCTAGAATTAAGGTGGAGCTAAGAAGAAATAAATGTGGACCCAAAGCTGAAGTTTCACAGTGTTTCCTGGTTTTATGAATAGACTTTTATCTACCTCCTGTTCAAAGAGGTTGCTGAAAGCTTTCCTGTTGCTGTTGTGCTAGCTCCTTTTTTTTACGCTGGAGTGTCACCTGGAAGCATTTTCTGGGCTGGGTGCTGTAAGCTGATTTTGTAGGAGACTGTCTTGATGAGATCCTAATCTAAATAATGAAGGCAGATAATCAAACCAACATGGAAAATGGAGAGGGTCTTCCCTGAATACATCTTGTTTTTTCCCCAAGATTGTCTCACATCAGCAGAGGCAAACAGCACACAGTGCTCAGCACGGATGGCTGACTGGAGAGTTTCAGTGGTGTAATGATGTCCGGTTTAGTCCCTGTTCACTTCCTGTAATTATTAGCGTTGGACTTTCCTTTTGGAGTCAGCCAATCCCACTATGTCATTGATGAAGATATTAAATATTATTGGTCCCAGTATAGATCCTTAGGGGACACCACTCATTGCTGATTTCCATTTGGACACTGAGTCATTGACTAACTCTTCCAATGCCAATCCAGACAATTCCTTATCCATCTAATAGTCCATCCCTTCATCAGACCCATATCTCTCCAATTTCGAGGTAAGAATGTTATAGGGGACCATATTAAAGGCCTTACAAAAGTCTAGTATAGCATGTGTATGGTATATTACTATATATGCTACACCAATTATAGTACATACTATATTAAGACTAGTGTTAGTAATGGCAGTAATATTTGCATGTTGTATATTGATAAAGTATATGCTATTTTATATATCATGGTATGGCCTGTAGTGTCTGTCACACATGTCTCTGGTCAAGGAGAACCCATAAGGGAGTCCTCAGCTCTTGGTTTGGAAACCCAGATGTGCTGCAGATGTGAGGTGATGTTACTCTTGTCTAAAAAGGGTGTGGCTGTGCTGTAGGGAAGTGTCTTTTCCCAGTTGCCTTTTTTTTATAAAAAGTAGATGTAAGTGTCTTGAAGGGGAGGGTTGAACTTTGGGGAAAAAGATTTGTCCTTGTGCTTAGCTTCTATGGGTGATTTGGCTTCCTGAGCTGGAGCTCACAGGTGCCCAGTTGCTGATGAATGAGAAAAGATGCATTCATCCTCACCCTGCACATATCAATGCAGATATATAGTACGAAATTCAATTTAGCAGCTGAAAAATACATGAGTTGGGTTCTGGTATCAGGCAAAACCCTAGCTGCATCCTAAATGCCCTCATTGCCCAGACAGGGCACCTGAAGCTGGAAGAGATAGTTGGTGACATGCTGGGAAGATGCTCTGAAAGCTTTGAAGGTGCTACATAATCTAACTTGATCTTCTCATTAATTCCCCCTTTTTCTACCCACTCTGAATCCATGCTGGGAATCACCAGTGAGAGATGGTTTTTTATTATAATTCTTTTATTTTCCCATTGCTTTCCTGTTGCATGTACAGTACTTAAAAATGAGATCAACTTCACGTCAGACATGTACCATGTTTATTAACAGCAAAAAAGTATTATCTAGGCTTCACTCAAGACCAATTTACAGGATAAATAATTGTTTCAAATTTAAAAAAAAACAAACAACAAACCCCCAAAGAATAAATTAATAACTTAAGTGATTAGCTGTCCACAGTGATTTGAAAACTTAATAACCATTCAAACAGTGACACCACAAGAAGACACATACTGTACAGTTTGCCACAGATTACTCTTGTCCTTCCTTCTACAAATGGAAAACAAAAAAATTCAAAATACTCCTCTTTAAGAACAGTCATAGGCTTTGAAACACATAAAACATCCCTGCGATTCGGCTGCTGACACAATGACTTCACAGCCAGGGCTCCGACCCTTCCTCGCAGCAGGTTAAGAAACAAATGGAGAAAACTACCCTAATTTGGCTGAGTCAGTTCCCACACAACGATGCCCAAAGTCGATGGGGAACTGTTGACTTTGCCATGGGCTGGGCTGTGTGGAATATAACTACTCTAAAGGTTTGGTCCTAACCCTAAGGGATTGATTGGCAGGCTCCCCATGGAGAGCAGGGTCCTGCTCCCTTCCCCTCTCTGTGACATGCTTCAACCACCATGTCCAAAGGGCTCTCAAAAAATGCATGGTATTTTCAGGGCCAATGTGGCAGCAGAACACTGAAACTGTGCAAATGGCTTTTCCCCCAACCCCTCGCTCAGGAGAAAATCCTGCCAAGTATTTCTTTTTTTTCCACCTTGGTAATTAAGGATGCAGGGGTTTTAATGAGTTTTGTAGAGCGGGATGTGTGGTGTCATGTGTGATGCTGGGCATGTCAACAGGGTAGCACCACATGCTGCCCAACTGCTGCTTGCAGACTCAAAACAGGTTTTGCATTATTAGGTGTCAATTAATTACACCTCACGATACATCTGTGAGGTGGGGAAACAAGTACTAAAAACCTTGATTTTACAAGCCAGAGAAAAAGCAGGTTACAGGAGCTCAGTTGAACCCCCTCACCCCGCATGAAGGTAAAGTATGGTGTCACTCAGAGAATGGCAATAAAAATGGTGGTTTCTTATCTCCTGGTCTTGGGGCAAACCTCTCCTGTATAGTTAACCCACTGGCCCTCAAATTAACCTGTTCTATGTTAGCAATGGGCTGCATCAAAAATTAAGAGCCTGCTGATTGGAAGCAAGTCTGCTGAGAAGGTCTTTTAGCTCAAGAGAGAGAGTCATGTGGCCCAGCTTCTGTTCCAGATGTTACTGACTGGTGTTAAAACTTGGACATCACGTGCCAGAACCAGCTGGCCGTGTTGGGTTGGAAGGGGGATAACTGTTTGGTGACACCTTGCTACATATCAACTTTTCTCAACAGTAGACACTGAATTAGCAGCCTGATCAACAGTACAACACTACGAGTTGTGAACAAGGAGATAAAATTGTGACTACAGTGATGAGACACCAAGGACAAGCTGATGGAGGGATGAACTGCTCCAGGCCAAGGAGAAATCATGACCAAAAGGTGCACATCTCTACCTGCAAAAGTCTCATTAACAGCTGCAAGATCATTGCATGCATGTGTGCAAGTTGGGCAGAGAAGAGACACACGCAGACTCACCAGCGGCCCTTGGTTTATTGGCCCTTGTGATCTGATGCTGGACTGGTTCCTCTGATTTTCTTGACAGCTCTTTTTTTGATGGTCATGTATATTCTCTGGCTGCTGTTAGGATCAGGTTTTGCTCTTCCCCCTTCCTGTTACAAGTTATAAGCTTCTCCATAATCACAGCCCCACTGCACCCATCTCATTCAGACAGCATCCCTTCAATGGGACACGCAGTGTG